GTGGCTCTGAAAAGAGCCTTTGGGGTTTGTAGGTTTTGAAAGCAGGTTGAGCCTCTCACTTCTTTTTAGGTGCCGCCTTCTTGGCCTTTGCTGCTTTAGGCTTCGATGCCTTCGGCTTGGAGGCCTTGGCCTTAGCCGCTTTGGCCTTTACAGCCTTTGGCTTGGCAGGACTCTTGGCAGCCTTCTTCAGTTTAGGCGCTGCTTTGGTCTTCTTGGGGCTCTTGGCGACTTTCTTACTACCCGCTGCTGTAGGTTTCTTGGCTTTCTTGGGAGTCTTCTTCACGGCCTTCTTAGCAGCCCCTGCCGCCTTCTTGGGCTTTTTGGGAGTGGCACCCGCAGGCTTCTTGGCTTTGGCCGCGCCGGTCTTCTTGGCTTTGGGTTTGACTTCCCCGGAGCCGGCCTTCTTGTTGAGCTTGAAGGAGCCCGAGGCGCCGGTGCCCTTGGTCTGCACCAGGATGCCCTTGTTCACCAGGCTCTTGAGGCCCAGCTTGATGCGGCTGTTGTTCTTCTCCACGTCGTAGCCGCCCGCTGCCAACGCCTTCTTGAGCGCGGCCAGAGAAAGGCCATTGCGCTCCTTGGAGGCGGAGACCGCTTTAGTGATCAGCTCGGAGACAGGAGGGCCGGTGGCCTTGCGCTTCGCAGCGCCACCAGCAGCCTTTTTCGCGGTCTTCTTCTTGGCGGGAGACTTCTCCACTGGCGCCGGAGCGGCAGTCTCCACTGGAGCGGTTTCGGACATGGCAATTAAGAAGGAATCGAGGCGAGAACTCAATGCTAAAGAGAGCAGACTTTGCAATGCAGGACTGCTTGGGGCCCCGTCCTTATATAGGCCGACGCTGCTCTGTGATTGGTGGAGCGGCGAACCCTCCGCCTTGAGGAGGACACCGCCGGGGATGACTTCCAAGTTGTGTTTGTTAGTTTACAAATTTTCATTAAATGAGACCAACAACGCGACAGCATTTGGCTCTTTGAAGCTCCAAAGGAGGAAAAAGGCTTTCAGGTTCACAAACTTACTTTTGTTTTTATGAACCGTGCGGGCCAGATGAAAAATATACTTTAAAACCCCTTTAGTTTTGCCTCAGAAGCCAACCCCCTGCAGACTCATGATAGTTAGCTGTTGGTTGCAATGCCATTTTAATAAACATCAAACGAAAGTTTTTGAAAAAGATTTGTTTCACAGTTCAGCTTTTGATTTGCACCACACGACAGATACAACGTTTCTTGGGTTGGATATAAACTTTGTTTCAAAGTGTAGTAAGTAACACAGGCAGACGACAAGGGATTCCTCACTGTCCTAATTCAACCACCGAGACCTTGTTTCAAAACCGGTTCTGCCTTCTCCGAGTTTCCATGTGCTGATGTCTTTAGAGAACACGGAATTCGCAGCTCGGGATGCAAATGGCCAGCGTGGCTACTTTCCTCTTGTTGCAAGAGGGATGGAAATCTCTGACTTCAGATTCAGAAGCTCAGATGGAAACTTTAGTTGAAATATGTTATGTCACCTATTGGGGATGCTGTCCATTAAAATGAGGACCCCAAAAAGTGGGTGTCAGATAATTCGCTTTACGAAACAGATCATTGATTTGCGGAAAATTCTCCATAGGCTCCCAGCAGCACCACCCTCCACCCACCACCCACCTGAGTAAAGCGCATGTGACTCACATGACCCTGGATCCGAACAGATTTCCAAGACACGTTTCCCAGGACTTACATGAAAACCCTTACCGCCATCAACGTTTAAGCTGTTGAATGGCCAGGAAAAGTATCTTCTACAAGCAGCCAGGAGCTATCAGTGTGGATATCTGTGTGTGTAAGCTAGGAAAAGTTCCTTTTAGAAGAATGATTGACTATTTTAAGAAGGGTAGGCTGGATATCCAAGTCCTGGTGGCATAGAGGGGGCAGTTCTATACTGTCCTATAGAGTCGCTATAAGTCACTGTGTGGGAGCAAAAATGAGGATTGCTACTCCTGGGAAGACTTACTAGCTGGGGAAAAACCCACAGGGGGTCCTATGGGGTCAGTATGAGTCAGCATGACTCGATGGCAGTGAGTTTGGGTTGGTTTCAGGTTGTATGTCAAGGGACTGTATTTTAGAGAAACTCAAAACCAAACTCACTACTATTGAGTCTATTCTCTACTTGTGGTGACCCTATAGGACTGCCTCTGAGGGTCTCGAACAGCTGACCTTGTAGTTAGCATCCCCATTTGTAACACACTACTACAGCAAGGCTAGGATTTTCGAATGGTTTTGAATACTTCCAGACAAAACAAAACATTAACAACCAAGGGAGCTGAGACGCAGACTGTCTGAGGTTGGAGCACTTTGCTATTTGAGAAGGAAAATGAAAGAGTGCCAGCTTGCTCCTTACGGGATCGAGTGATGATTCACAGTTCTGATGCAAAGAAGTCCGTTCTTGCCACTAAGAAACCGGAAGGTCAAATTGGTCTTCATTCTCTATCTTTTTTCAGGAGTGGAAGGCCTGTGAGCCATGGCCTATAGGCTATCTCATCAAAGTACAGTCCATCTTAAAGCCTTTAAAAGAGTAAAGCTTGGGGTGGTGGAAAGGGGGAACCGATTACAAGGATCTACATATAACCATCTCCTGGGGAAGTGACAACAGAAAAGTGGCTAAAGGGAGATGTCAGACAGTGGAAGATATGACAAAATAATAATTTGTAAATTATCAAGGGTTCATGAGAGAGGGGGAGCACAGAGGGAGGGGAAAAATGAGGAGCTGTTGCCAGGGGCTTTAGTGGAGAGCAAATATCGAGGATAAGGGTAACGAATGTACAAATGTGCTTTATACAATTGATGTATGTATGGATTGTGATAGGTTGTATGAGCCCCAAATAAGATGATTAAAAACAAAAAACTTACAACGAAACAAGATGCAAAAACAGAATATGCTCATTTCAAGTTAAAAGAACTGAAGAAAAACTAAATTAATCTTGAAATCATGATATCAAAAGGATGCTTTCTATGGACAAAGAAACTACAACGACCACCAAACAGAACAGGAGTCATCAAAATAAGATGTAAGGGGCACTCAATGAACTAATAAAACATTGTCTGATCATCAACCACCTGTTAGTATACAAAATTTTAGGTAGAAAATGAAGTGACAATAGTACATAAGGGGCAAGTCAGGAAACTTTAAACGGGTAAAAATGATGTAGGTGATCAGTAGAGCATGTATAAAAACCCAGAGTTCCATTTTAGGGTATGCATTGAGCTACTAAATGCAAAGGGATCCAATCCAGAACCTAAATCCTCAGTAGAAAGATGGAAGGTTAGCTTGCCTCAATCCCTAAGAAGCCCTAATTCTGCCTCATAAAGTATTGAAGTCAGAATCAACGAGGGCACTTGAGAAAGCCATTTCACAGCATTTAAACTCTTCATACACTGGCAGAACCCCACGCTGGGGAGTATAAGGAATTGTCTGGATTTTAATCGAACAATGATCAATCGGCCTTTTCCCCCCTTATCACGCTAGCAAAAGCACACACTAACCCCCAAAAGTGGCCCTTAACAGACTGATCCTATAGGACAGGCTAGCAGTGGCCAGTGGATGGTTAACTTTATGGGAAATGATTGACCAATTCGCAGGCCAGTGAAGCTAAGCGTTCTAATTGCAGAGCACCCCAAGTTTGATAACGGACCACAGCCCTGTACGCTGCCTCAAATTGTGGGCACACAATGCAGGTTTCCTAAGGAACAGCTCTTCCTGGTGAAAACTAAGGGGGCTCTGAAAAGAGCCTTTTGTTGAGGTGAAGGCGTTTAGGCCCTCTCCCCGCGGATGCGGCGGGCCAGCTGGATGTCCTTGGGCATGATGGTGACCCGCTTGGCGTGGATGGCGCACAGGTTGGTGTCCTCGAAGAGCCCCACCAGGTAGGCCTCGCGGGCCTCCTGCAGCGCCATGACGGCCGAGCTCTGGAAGCGCAGGTCCGTCTTGAAGTCCTGCGCGATCTCGCGCACCAGCCGCTGGAAAGGCAGCTTGCGGATCAGCAGCTCCGTCGACTTCTGGTAGCGCCGGATCTCGCGCAGGGCCACGGTGCCGGGCCGGTAGCGGTGGGGCTTCTTCACGCCGCCCGTGGCCGGCGCGCTCTTGCGGGCCGCCTTGGTGGCCAGCTGCTTGCGCGGCGCCTTGCCGCCGGTGGACTTGCGAGCCGTCTGCTTGGTGCGAGCCATTGATGTGATTACAGCTACTCAGACAGAAAAGTGAGAGTAACTAGGACGGCGGCGCCGTATTTGTAGGAACTCTTGGGTTCTGATTGGACAATCCCTGCAGCTCCTCATCACCCGACCCACCGAATAGGCTTCTGGGTTAACTCTCTAATTACTGAGCAGATTTTCCCGCTCTCACGTCTGCCTAGGAAACGTGCATTTGAAAAAGCTTCTTTCATTTTCTATGTATCAAAATTACTTGGATTTTCTTCTCTTGTGTGACTGAACGTGTCTTCCATTATTTTACGTAAAATATATGACTGGATTGGTGACGCGGTTTATTAACATTAAAAGGAACAGCCTTTGAAGAAAAATTACTTGGAAATGGTTCGCAATTGGACCAAGTGTAATGTTTGTACTATGAAATTTAATGTCCCTAAGAGATTTCTCAATCTGGGTCTACCCAGAACCTCTGAATCTATAAGCCATGCTGCACAGCATACTACCATGTTTCCCTGAAAGTAAGACATCCCCCGAAAGTAAGACCTACTTGCAGTTTTGCCTCTCGCTGAAATATAAGGCATCCCCCGGAAAATAAGGCCTCCCCGATAATAAGGCCCCTGGAAGCTACCATAACTGGACTCTGGACCTTAGCCGGCGGGTGCCGCTGTGCAGCTCACTGTTGGCCACAGCGCAGCCAGAGCGGACAGGAAGTGCGAGGTCTCTTTTAATCAGAGAGCCCGCGCCTCCAGGACAAGCTGCCTCCTGCTGCTCCCTGTCCTGACGGAGTCTGTTTGATTCACAATTGGACAGTGAGTCGCGCGGGGCAGGAGTCAGGCACATCTTGTGAACATATAGGGGTGACTGAGGTAGGGGGGAAATGTCTGGTGAAGGTGTCCACTGGCAAGGGGTGGGGGGAGGGGATCGATCACCTAAAATGGCACTGGGGTATCACTTAAAATGACACAGGAGGCTCAGAAGGGTTTACAAAATGGCAAAACCAACCCCCACCCCCGATTCTCCTGTCATTTTGAATTCCCTGATCCTCCAGTCATTTTAAGTGATCCCCCTCCCCCCATCCTGATACCCCAGTGTCAATTTTTTTGTTCAATAAATGTGTACCTTATTCTTAATGAAAAATAAGATACCCCCTGAAAAGACCTAAGCATCTTTGGGAGCACAATAAGACACTGTCTTATATTCGGGGAAACAGTTGCAGTTATGGCGCGAAAGCATTAAAAGGACAAAGGGACGAGGAAACAAGAGGGAAATTTGGCCAAGTCACGGTATGCCCTAACAAAGTTCCCAACTCTAAATGGGGAGACATTGCTAGGGAGGGTTAACATGCCACATTACTGAACTGAGTAAAACAGCCGATTGCCTACGACTGTTGCTCAACATACCAAGGGATACAAAGCCCATGCGTGGATGTACAAAGCAATTTAGATTTGTGCAACAAGCTCTCCATTGGATTTTATGGGTGGCCCTGAAAAGGGCCTTTGGGTGGATTGGCGCGCAGAAACTGGCTAGGAAGGGGCGCTCAGCCGCCGAAGCCGTAGAGGGTGCGGCCCTGGCGCTTGAGCGCGTAGACCACGTCCATGGCCGTGACCGTCTTGCGCTTGGCGTGCTCCGTGTAGGTGACGGCGTCGCGGATCACGTTCTCCAGGAACACCTTGAGGACGCCGCGCGTCTCCTCGTAGATGAGCCCCGAGATGCGCTTGACGCCGCCGCGCCGAGCCAGGCGGCGGATGGCGGGCTTGGTGATGCCCTGGATGTTGTCGCGGAGCACCTTGCGGTGCCGCTTGGCGCCCCCTTTGCCCAGGCCCTTCCCGCCTTTGCCGCGTCCAGACATGTCTGCTATCAGATAGGGAGTTGGGCGTAATCCTCGGGGTAGGAATTTATATAGTGACGAATCGGACCTGTTTGGAGACTGGTCACGTACGAGCTATCAAGCCCTGCCCACTTCTTCAAGGGGGAGGAAGGGGCGGTCCTTCACTTCAGCTTCACAAACAGGTCTCTGCAAAAAGTATTATGTGGCAAACAGCTTTTTTAAGTTCGGCTTTTTTCTTTATTTTGCGCCTGCCTCTATGAAAAGCCGTTCCACTGTTCAGGTCAGACCACGCAGGTTGCTGTCCACAGTCATACTGGCGCCTGGCATCGAATGACGTCCCTGGAGGAGGATGGCATTCATTTTAGCTATTTGTGTCTCATACTTTCCATATAATGTTGTTGTGGAGTCCTTGGGCATAATGGTGATTCGTGAGACTGCTAACCATACGGCCAGCAGTTCGAACCCACCATCGGCTCCAAGGGCGTAAGCTTTACACTTTCTAATCATGTCAAGATTTGCAGCCTCAGAAACCCACTGTGTACTTTATGCTCGGTCCAACGAGGTCACTATAAATCTGGCTAAATTCTATCTCTGTTCTGCGCCTCCGTTTTCCACCTCTCAATGAGTCAGCATTGACCCGGTGGCAGTGCGTTGAGTCTTTAGCTGTGACTCCTTTGGACACCATTATTCTCAAATGTGGATAGTCCCCATCATTTGATTTGTTTATGCCTTTGTCCTGGTTAAAACTTAGTAAAGAGGGGGCTCTCTATAAGATACATTTGAATTTGGGGTCTTTCCCCCTATAACAGGAGGACATTTTAACCATGGCTCACGCTAGGTGGCGGTCCCTTGTAGTTATGGTTGAATTTCAGTGATGGAAGATAGACTGTCAATTCCATTTATTGTCTGCTGTCAGTGAAATTGAAGGTTGGTCTGTGAATTTGGAGATACCCTGCTTCCCCGAAAATAAAACAGTGTCTTATGGTAATTTTTGCTCCCAAAGAAGCGCTAGGTCTTATTTTCAGGGGATGTCTTATTTTTCCATGAAGACGACTACAGTACACATTTATTGTTTATTGTTTTATTAAAAGAGACCTAGCACTTCCTGCTTGCTCCGGCTGCGCTGCAGCCAACAGTGAGCTGTGCGGCGCCTGCTGCTACAGTCCAGAGTCCAGAGTTATGGTAGCTTCGGGGGGGCCTTATTTTCGGGGAGGTCTTATTTTGGGGGGATGCCTTATATTTCAGTGAGAGGCGAAAATGTAAGTAGGTATTATTTTGGGGGGATGTCTTACTTTCGGGGAAACAGGGTAAGTATTTGACTGCTAAATAAAAGGTAGATGGTTTGAATCCACCAGCTGCTCAGTGGGAAAAAGATATGGCAACCTGGAATGTCAGGCATTAAAACCAAACCAAACCCATCACAGTGGAGTTGATTTGAACTAAGAGTGAGATTATAGGACAGAGTAGAATCACACCAAGATGTTCCCAAGGCTGTTCATCAGTACAGCAATTCTGAGGAGCAATCATCTCCTTGGCTACCCCATGCGCACGCAACCCTACTTGGCCACCAGTGCTCACATCCTTCCTGTGTATGAGCTTAGAAGTCCTGAGCACAGTTTGCAGAAGGCTGGTGTACAGCAGAAAGCCCTGACTCCATTTTTGAGTCTCCACATAAATCCAGCCTCCCCTGAATTCTTCCAGGTCATTTTACTAGCAGTGTCCGTACAAAACCAAGGTCACTGCCATCGAGCCAATACTGACTCAACCCTATAAGGCATGGTAGAACTGGCCCTGAGTTTCCGAGACTGTTAAGCTTTATGGGAGGAAGTACCCCTGTCTTTCTCCTGGGAAGCTGCACGAAGTTACCAGGGCTCTTCTGGCCCTACCCTCAGGCACAATGTATTAGTGGTTTACTATCAACCACATAACCAGTGAGGAGGAGGAGGTTGGTCTAATTGGCCTACCGCCTTAAGATCTTCCCTGAATGTGCCCAATTGGGATGCCAAGGTTGCCTGCTCCTTGGCCACAGGGCCCTGAATCTATCTTGTAAGCTCTTCTTTCGTAATGTGTGTATGGCAATCACGGACCCACCCCACTTCTGCAGTTTCATCTGCAACTGTTGTATTGCTCTGCCACTAATTGTGTTGATGGCAGTTCCCTTTGCCCTCCTGTGTCCCATTGAAGTGGCTGAATTTCTGTGAATCCTTGGACACCATTATGATCTTGTACTAGTGGTTTTATCTGAATGTTGGGACTTTGTCTTATTTAAAACTTAATAAATGCTCTCCTTAAATGATATCTGAGATTTGTGGTTTGTGGTTTTTACTCCAAAACACTATAAAGACTTAAGGCCTTGGGAAATACATCGTTTACATCAACTTGATGGCTATCCATTTTGGTTTTGTGTAAAGGTCACCTTGGCTCCACATGACAAGGGTCAGTGTGATGCCAATGTTAAGTCTGCTATGCCCCAACCTGTCCCTGAGCCCTGCTGGCCAAGGGTGCCACAGCCTCTTGAGCTCCCAAGTCCAGAATAGGCATTGAAGTGCCCTTACCTGTTCCTCGCTTCAGACTCAGTGCCAGGGACTTGAATCCAGGAGAAGCAGCAAAGATGTCTAACAAGCCACCCACTCTCCAAACCGGGGGCCTGAGAGCCCCTCTTCTGGAGAAAAGTGGAGCTGCCTTCACACCTTCCCAGCCTTGGTGCAGCACTTACCAGGCATGCCTCTGCCTTATGAGCAGCCCAGCCACCCTGTGCTCCAGCCTGGCCTCTTTCTCCCCCAACACATGAACACAGACAGTGCCTACATGCTGCCAGGCTGCTTCTACCCATGTTCAGGCCCCCAGACATCAATGGGCTGCTACCTACCAGAGCCCTACTCTCTCTCTCCCTCTCTCTCTCTCTCACACACACACACACACACACACACACACACACACACACACACACCTTCCCCAGCCCAGTTGTGGTCCATGGGGCGAGTCCCTTCAGGGGCTACCATGGTGACCAAATTCCAGGAGATCTTCAAAGGTGTGCCCATGCCGATGGTGTGTCCAAACTACCAGCAGACTATCACCACAAAGATGGATAAGCTCACCCTAAGGACTTTGGTGCAGGGCTTCATCTGCTTCATGGGATGTGACCTTGGTGGGGGTGACTGGGAAACGGCTCCCAGTTTTGAGTCTCTCCACTCCTCTGTTCCTGTCCTGCTCGCAGGAAAGATTTCAGGAGAAAGCATTCAGACGAGAGTCAGAAAAGAGTGGAAGAGAAAGTGAGCTTATGAAGGGGTTACTTTGGCCAAGCACTCCAAAGGGCCTCCTTAGCTAAAGGCCTGGTGGGATGTAAAGCTGGAACTTTCGTTCGGCTAATGGGGAACCTCTTGCCATTGGCTGGCTTTCAGACCCCACACTTAAGAGTCTGTTTATTCGGTCATTGTGGGAGTAGTGTGAGCATCCTGTTTTCCCCCACCCAGCCTCTTCACCATCTCTGGCCTCCTCCATTGCTAAGAACTGCACCTTCCCTTCACCTTCTTTGTGTTAGAGAGGCATGTGGGGAAACATGTCTCTGAGGCAGACCAGCAAAAGAAACTCCACTTTTGTTAGCTGCTGGTTGACCTGCCCATTCTCCCACTCCTTATGGGAAATTCGGCTCTGCTGGTGATTCATTTTAGAATGGACTCCCATGTTCCCAGGTTCTGGCCACTACAATTATTTTTGACTATTCTTCAATACATCGTTTGTTTTAAGATTGTTCCTTTTGAAATTGTAATCTGAATGGTGTAGTTCATGGTGTTATGTTGACCAAGATGTTATAGTCAATTGCGGTATTGTTTCTTTTATGATAAGGAATGTACCTTGTAATGCCTGCTTGCTCATCTTGAAGTTACCAGAATGTTATAATCAATGTGGTACCTCGTTACGCTCCCCAACCCTAAGGAATAGTAACATTCATTTTGCTTTCTGCTTCTGTCCACAGTTGCTTAAGCCTTAGACAAAGGATAAATGAGGTTTTCGCCTTTAAAGACGGACTGAAGTGTTGACCCGGAACTGCAATCAAAGAATCACTTTTAGGTTCTAGCAGTTCGGTTATAACTGAATAAAGACTCTTGGGAATTATCAACACATTATAGTGGCTGTCATTTATTTGAGCCGATAACATCTCCGCCTCGCCTTTGTGTTGGGATTCTTGCCGTCTTCACCTCTTTTTCCTTTCTGTCTAGCTAAGACCAGGACCAAGTGTCCAGGATTACTTGCTTCAGCCAAAGACAGAGAGCAGGTTGATTCGAGAAATTCTAAGTATAATCTGCAAGTTCCAGACCGAAGGGAACAGTGGGATGCTGCCTCCCAACTGCTTTGAAAATCCACTGAAAGTCAATCACGTTGTACACTCCGCACGGATGACAAAAAGCAGCTTTTGCCACAGTCAAAAGGGAAGGAGGCCAGATCTGCACATGCCGTTTTCTAGGGGTTATATTTATCATGAGTTTGTTCATTACTAGACCACCATGCCCTGAAGCACTATGTTCCACTGCTTTTTAAAAAAAAATCATTTTTTTCGGGGCTCATACAACTCTTATCGCAATCCATACATACATCAATTGTGTCAAGCACATTTGTACATTCATTGCCCTCATCATTCTCAAAGCATTTGCTCTCCCCTTAAGCCCCTGGTATCAGCTCTTCATTTTTTCCCCTCCCTCCCGCTTCCCCCTCCCCACTTGTTATCTAAATGTGGGATTCTTCATCTCTGGCTACTCTCTTGTGGTCCTTCTTACTGCAAAGCAGAAGAATGCCCCTACTGCTTTACCTTACAAGGAATTTTTACTGCCAGGGAGGAGGCTGGTACATGTTGCTGCAGAAAACTCCATTTTGGATTTCCAACAGACTACATCTTAAATGATGTCCTGTTTCTAGTATTTTCATCAGCAGCAGGCTAACTCTTCCAGCCGTCCTCTATCACCCTGGGCTGTTGTCTGATCCCTGGCCTCAGCAATGACTTCAAGGATATGACCTGACTCAAA